CTGGTGATTTTAACATCAGTGTTGACAAACGTAGGACAAAGGGTCCAACAAAGTGTGTTGTGCCTCGGTCAATGAGCTTGTAGATCATTTAAATTCTAAAATTAGAAATGTTATTGATGCCATTGCACCCATTAAGGTAAAGACGGTCTCTAGTAAGAAAAGATCTCCATGGAGAAATTCCGTGCTGGTAAGAATAGAAAAAATAGGTGTGCAGGTGAATGCAAGTGGTGAAAAGCAAATCTCCATGGTCATTATGAAATCTATAAAGAGAGACTTTGCATTTATTATTTAGAACTGAGAAATGCAAGACGGTCCTTCTTCTCTGACAGCATCACCAAAAATACTAATAATGCACGTGCCCTGTCTGCTACTGTACCTATGAACTTCTATCTACCAGGACTTACAATAAATTTGCCTCCTTCTTCACTGACAGGTATTTCATGCCTCCCTATCAAGTACAAGGTATGGGTTGTTCCTGTGTCTACTTAAAACCAATTCAAATAGCATGACACAATTTGATACTGTCAACCATAAAAGCTTGGAGGGCTGCCTCAATATTCTGCCAACAGGCTTTTTCAGAAATGTTTTCAATTGCATGGCCTCAGTGATACAAATTGGCAACATGACTCTCAGGTTTCTTCCTACAGGCCTGAAAACTTTAATTAGTCATTAAGCCACTCTTAAAAAACAACAATCTAGACATGTTACTAATGAGCAATTAAATGCTTATATCAAACCTTCTGTTTTTAAGTAAAATAATTGAAAAAGCTGTTTAACACTAACTGACAACTAAACAACTGGCACTTAACAACTGTTTTGATATCTTCCAGTCAGTCTTTCGACCACCACCTAACAGCCCCACTTTCCATTTACTTTGCATAGGTTGAACTACCAAACAGTACACTGTAAATAATAAATAATTAGTTAGAAGTAGCTCCAACTACAACGGTGGAAAGCTGCTCACACACTTATGCATCAGTCCAATAATAAAATATATAATAGGAAACACTGACCAGAGACATTCTGCTCCATAATACGTTGGAGCAGCAAGTTTATCTTGCTGCTCCAAGTACTTACTTGGTAATACTTGTGTGCTATTAACTAAGTAAATTTTACTGGAGTATTTCTCACATGGTGGTATTGTTACTATTACTTAAGTAAATTACTTGTTTACTTCTTCCAGCACTGATTTGAGATGAAATCATATGGATGCCAGTATCAGCCCCAAAATCCATATTTTTTGCACACGTGCTTTTAATGCCATGCCATGTCAAAATGTCCACTGTGAAAAAGACCCATACTGGACTATTTAGCTATGCCTAATTTATTAGTTAGTGTATAATGTGTACTACATAAAACACAAAACAACCACTTAGTGATCTATTTTGCTACAGAGCTGGATAATAAAACATTGTTTTTCTGATTTGAAGTGACAAATAAATACATAAAATGATGGCTAAGGTTGTATTTGGAGTTGCTATCACAGACTGTAATGTTGCAATACCGTCAAATATCTGGCAGTGAGGTGAGAGGTTTGTAAACACTGCACATCCTGGACTCTACCAACGCCCGCGGGGCAGTGAGCTCACGTTGACGGCTACATCTCCACTTTAAAGCTTTACGAGGAGAAACTGGTTTATTTTTGCTCCGGGCAAGACTTTAGAGCTACATTTTGCGTGTATTGACTTTTTGACGACGGTTTGAAGGGACAAACATCTCCTTTGCTGTATAAAACATCCCCACCCCACCCCTTCTCTATCAGGAAGTGAGCTGCTCGTATGCTTTCAGCTCTGAATCAGCTGAGTTTGAGGATCCCGCCCCGTAATGGCTATCACCGCTGGTAGTCTAGGGATGTTTAGTGACATGCTCATCCTCAGGACACATTGCAGGGTTGCCACCTCTTTTTCTTTTGAGCGACTCCAGTGTGAAATATGCACCATGAGGACCGGGCTGTCGTTTCTTTGAGTCACACTGCTTTTGAAGCGGGTGTGCTCTGGCGCATCTTGGGCTTGTTTCGCAGTTGGTGAGTCATTGATGCACCTGATATAGCTAGCTAATTTTGTTTACGGTGGTTGTGTTTGCTCAAATGGTAATTGCTGTCTTCTTAAAACCAGAGGACTGTGATTTCTTTTGACACTTTAAAAACCATACTGTTTAAATATTACGTTAATGTTACGTTTTTAATGGCTAGCAAGGTATCTTCGAATTTTGCCTAGTTGAATTTTGTATTGACTAAATGTTATTAAGCTAGCTGTATGTATTTGACTCACGTGTCTGTAAAAGTACCTTGCTTGTTTTCTAGTCTTGGGGACAGTGACATAACGATGCAGTCTGTGGTCGTGCAGTTACATAATATACTCAGCGGCAGGCACTTCTGATGCCACAGGCCAAAAGCTGCAGCAGCCAACTGTCAGTTGGCCACAGTTTATGCTGTATGCTTTCTAATCTGCCATCTCACAGCTTCAGCACCGTCACATATAGACCGCAGTGATGGTGGCGTCAGGTGACACAGTCCATAGCGGGGCTTAGTGTGCCATAGTGCGTGTTTACTGTCCACCCTCAAAGCACACACTTGCCCAACAGCAGCCTGCCTGAATTGCATGGTTTTATCGCACTTGCTGTTTTTGCTGACACATAAAATGAGGAAGTACTTATAGATCTGCTTGGCCTACACGATTATCTCGCTGTCGCCTGTGATTACGCTGGGTTTTTAGGATCCTCATTTGCTTGAAGGTTGCACACAGATAAAGTAGACTCTTTGCAGGAAGAGTTATGGCCCATCTAATGAGATCCATCTGAGCAGGTTCTGTGTAGAATAGCATCACCTTTATGTTTACACATTATCTAACCACTCATAATTTTAATATCAGTGGGAAAAAGTTTAATCCACTGGTGACAGGCCCAAAGCCAGGATTTCACAAATTCTGCAGTCACGAGTCCTGCATGTGGCTTTTATGGATTAGAAGTTACTTGATGTCAATAGTCTTGTCCGGTTAGAGATGACTAACCACTTGCTATGCATTTTAACCATTTGATCATTTACAGACACATGCTATAAAAATGGATATGTGTAAGAAGGGGCAACAGGTGTTAATGGGTGCATATATTGCATTTTCTTTCTGTCGTACACAAAAAAAAGATGATGGTAATGCACACTGTTACCAAACCAACAGAAGCTGCATATTGCAACAGTTTGCTAAAACTGCCAAATAACAGTAAAGGCAAATGCATCCTAAATAAAGTAGTCAGAGTGTGATTGATATTATCGGACAGGCCAGTATTAGCTGCCAAGTTTAGCTTATTGTAGATATAGGCCTTTTGGTATTGGTCTGCGCTCTATTTGAGTGATCATAAACCCATTTAATATTACAATACAGGCTTCCACAGCCCACATGTTTCATGCAATGTTTATTATAGTGTAATTTTACGAAATTAAAAAATTTCATCTATCTGCTGAATCTTTGTTATATTTGAGTTGTTGTTCATAGTTTGTACTGATACTGATAGATTTCCAGTGATTCACTGTGTGAAATGTGTTATAATATTTTCACTGACGAGGTGTAACTGCTGCCGGTGTTATGAGAGGAGGTGATATGAGAAATAATCTTGACTCTCATACCTCTTCATCGCTTGAACACTTAGCTCACTCTTTTTACAAGTTATCTCTCCAGTTTTCTTTTATTCACTGACTGTCTTACATTCCTGCTTTTTGTTTTCCACAAGAAATAAACTCGCCTCTTCTTCTGTCTCATTCCAGAGGGTGAAGATCTGGGATCTACATTTATTTATTACTTGTGTAGTTGCAAATAATCAATATTGCCCACCGCAAGCTTAAAGAGACTAAAGTGATGTCTTCCAATATATGTATTATTATGTTGAATGAGGAACAAAAAAACACACCTTGTATTCAGTCTTTTTTAAAGATATTAACCAGAGTTCATCAGCAAATTTTCACATTTTCTAAACTTAAATAAGTAAATGGTATTTGTATTTTACAAATAACTCAAAAGATAAATCGGTAATTGAATTTACTTTGATTATTTTTGTGTCAATAGGCTGATCGTTTCACCACTAATACTGAGTCGCTCTGAGTACATGTTGTTGAGTTGGTCCACGATGGTAAAGCCCCTCTCAGCTCAGGCACACGGAGTCCAGATGTCTGTGCTCCTCTAATCCTGCCCTCCTTCTGCCCCGACCCATCTCTCTGTTTAGCTTTATTCAAATTCACTACGTGTGCGCGCACACATACACACACACACACACACACATACCACTGCTTTTGGCATGTGCTTGAAAGTAACAGATCATACAGTAGATTTAACAGTTGGGTAGTTTGTTGTGGGTTTTTGTCCTGTGTAGACTAAAATAAAATTGTTTTCCTATTTCAGTTCTTCCCCAGGACCTTTTTTTAAAGCTACGAGTCAATATTTATGTTGATAATTAAAAGATCAAATGACTACATTTAATGTGAAATTGGCAGCAGAGAATTATTACCCAACTCTGTATTTCCCCTCAGCTCTACAGAGCTTGTCAGCATCTTTCGGCTCATTTGGTTTTATGGCCTGAAGCTTTACTGTGTGGTTCAGTCTGACCGCTCTAATCAACCGAGCAGGCCGTTGTTTTCTGCTAGCTGGCCAGCATTCAATGTGTAGACGAGAGAAACAAACTCTTTCCCTCTGTGTGTTTGTGCCCACTCCTAACTTGTTTTCTCTGGTGCATGCAAGACCACACAGTTTGTGTTAGACCGACTCCTCCCTCCTCAGACTGAGACACAGGTCAATCAGACAAGCGCTGACCAGCCGTGAATGAGTGCGTTTGTCTCCATAGCCTCCGGGCTTGTATATGATAGTAGACAGAGCAAATTGGCTAATTGTAGTTGCTATAAACGAAGCCTCAGAGGCAGAAGGTTGTCCGACAGGTTGCAGACGGACTAAACCCAAATTCTTTGCTTCTTTTTCAGAAATATTGTTCTGAACATGCTGGGATCAGACTGATGCATCATGGATCCTGAGGAATTAGAACTACAGAATGACTACCGATACCGTAGCTATGCAGCTGTCATTGAGAAGGCGCTGCGAAACTTTGAGTCTTCGAGTGAGTGGGCAGATCTCATCTCCTGCCTTGGCAAGCTCAATAAGGTATGGTATGATGCACAGAGTAGACTTATGTTGCCAGAGAAATACTGTACCTGTTAATATATTTATCTGGATATCTCAGTAGGTGCTGCTTATGCTCATAATATGAAACTGTATGAACTGCGTGTTTCAACAGCTGCTTTGTGTGTTTCACTTCTCTGTACTTTGGGGGAAGTTCTTGTTTCTTAGTGAGACTATGTTATAAAGCCATACTACTAGAGTCTTGTGGCTATTGAAGCCTTGCTTAATATGTAAACTTTTTGGTCAATGACAACCCATTTTTTTTTTCTTTTTCCATCTCTTTCTTTCAGGCCCTACAGAGTAACCTTCGCTACTCCCTCTTGCCTAAGAGACTGATCATAGGGAAGCGTCTCGCCCAGTGCCTGCACCCGGCTCTGCCGAGCGGAGTACACCTCAAGGCTCTGGAGACCTACGAGGTCATTTTCAAAATCATCGGAACAAAATGGCTGGCCAAAGATCTGTTCATATACAGGTGAAGAAACTGGCCTAAATCTTACACTGCTTCAAGGAGGGCTGCTGGCCTGATTATATGTGCAGCTTTTAATGAAATAACTTATCTTGTTTCCAGCTCAGGATTGTTCCCACTGTTGGGCCATGCAGCCATGGCAGTGAAGCCTGTGCTGCTGACACTGTACGAGCGTTACTATCTCCCGCTGCAGAGGGCTTTGCTGCCCAGTCTTCAGGCGTTCATAACAGGACTACTGCCGGGCCTGGAGGAAGGACTGGAGGTTTACGACAGGTACATAGCATTACAACAGCGTTTGCTAAAAACCACAGTGCCCAGCTGTTTTAGGAACCTTTCCCTTATTTTTTTTTATTTAATTAAGTAGTGACTCATTACAGAAGGAATAAATGGGCTTTTTCGTAACAGTATAATTATTTACCAATAGTACAGCAAAAAAGAGGAATTGTAGCTCTGTATGAGGTGCGGGACTGATTCAGCTGCTGTGTTGCCCCTGCAGTGGATGCATAACCAAGGGTATTCTAATCCTGGAACTAAACATTATTTCTGCACATACTGATCCATCACAATAGAACAGGTTATATCACACTTTGCCTTGTTCTTTTTTCTCACTCAGATATGTGAACATTTCAGTTTGAGTTTCTCCATGATCTGTCAACTTCACTGTTCATGCTCCACTAATTTACACAGTAGTGCACATAGACAGGAGAGTCCATGAAAAAGTATATCAGTAAGTTCTAAACCAGTGACCAAGGTATCCAAAAAAAGAAGACACAGCTGAACATGAGTTTGGATTTAAAACTTTCTGTGAGTAAGCAGCTAATATGCTGACAAGGTAAGTTTTTGGTGGGTCACTTGACCCCTTTAGGATTGCATACTGCCTAAACTGTACTTCAACACTGAAACAGTGGACGATTTGGAACAGAATTGATTGGTATGACGTCACTAATCACAAGGGCGGCCTGCTACTCAGAAATATTGATTTATTTAGGGGGTGTATTGAACACATGTCAATGAGTTTATCTCCATGTTGCCCTCTCTCTCTGTCCAGGACTGATGTGTTGCTGCTCAAGTTGTCACTGCTGGTGGGTCAGCAGGTCTTCTATGGCACCCTGTGGGGCAGTATGCTGGTCAGCCCCATGGTGCGACTACCCGCCTCGGTCTTTATAGTCACACATTTTTGACCGCATGGCGTCCCTGCACCAGCAAACACACATGCTAGGCTACGACCATCGGCTGGTGGTGAGTGTCTGTGTTTGCCTTACTGCACACATGTGGTGTGAAGCACATTTAATGATGAAGATCTGTTTATTATGTGGAATATTTTTTTTTATTGTGGATATATTTCTGTCATGTTTCAGTTTAGTTCTACAGTCCACTCCATCACCATCTTTTGTCATGTGTCTTCTTGGCTTCTGTCTGTCTTCAGGTGAAGTCGGTGTGTCTTTCTCTGCAAGATTCAAATGTCCTGGTGCAGAGGAACATGCTTGAAATTCTGCTCTACTTTTTCCCCTTTGCTAAATGCCTGGTAGGTACACACATAAACACTCTCACTCCCTGTTTTTCTGGATAACATCTGTGGTTTTAAGTCATTTGATTAAAGTGCCTCTTCATTTCTACTCCTGAAATCACATGTCCTTCGGATTCCCATAACATCATTAGATTGAGGTTATTTAGGGGGAATAAACAGGAATTACCCTGAAATATGTTAATTTATGCTGTACCATGTGATGGCTGTCACTGCTGTTGTCAGCGTTCCAATATTTTCTTTTATTTATTCTGAACAAACTGCTTTTGCTGCCACTTGGAAATATTGTATCTTACTTTTGTGAGTTGCTACCTCTTTACCTTCTTTTCCATTGAAAATAGGGACTTTCCTGTCATTTCGCTCCCATCCTTTCCTTCTGTTCCATGTCCAACTGTTACTCTGTGTGTTGTTGGTTTAGGACCCAGCGGAGGGCAGTATTGCTGTGAGTGTCGAAGACATGATCACAGTGGTGTCTGCAGCCTCACTTACGCTGCTCCGCAGAGACATGTCCCTCAACAGACGCCTCTACGCCTGGCTCCTAGGTGCTGATTATTAAAATATACTTCACTGATGAATTGCCTACTCAGTTTCTCAGTTAACTCGCTATTATTTGCCTTTGTGTATGTGTTTTCAGGGCTAGACATAAAAGGAGGAATGGTGACACCACACCCAACCTTCTCCACTACCACAGAGGAACATACATCCTTCTACTTCAGCACCTACTCTAGAGATTTCCTCGTGCAGGTAATTCGTGGTTATACAGAAATTTATGTGTGGAACTATTTCTTGGCCGGGAGCAGTAACTTATCTTTTTATCACAGTGAGGTTCCCAGGCCAGGCCAAAAAATGTTTTGAACAGACAGTATGTCAGCGAGTACAGTAAATGAGAGGAAGCTTATGTCTAATGTCACACCTTGGTCAGGTGTACAGCGTACCAGTTTTTGTTTGCCACGTGTCTCTTCTGACCTGTTTGTTTCTGTGGCTTCAGGCTCTGATAAACATCCTCAAACAGAAGAGCGACCCAGATAATGTGACTGGATGCCTCAGGCCGTTTCGCATCATCATCAGTTTGCTGGATAAACCGGAGATAGGTAGGCAGCACTGAGCAACACAGTACACAAACACTTCAAAATGTTGAATTACTTGATTTTAAAAAATTGGCTCACTGAAAACAGCTTTTAAAAGCTTTCACAAACACAGAAAACTCTTCCGTGATTGTGATCGCATTGCTCACAAATCATTTTTCCGGTTCGCACATATATATTTTTAGGGGTGTACTCCTTTAACATTATCAAAGGACAAACCTAAAGCCCTGCCACCGCTTTTTGTTTATGACTTCATTTTACTCTAAGCACGTTTTACTTTGATAATGACATTGTTTCCACTCAGGTCCAGTGGTCTTGAGCAGTGTGTTGTTGGAGGTGATCCGAGCCTTCTACAGCCACTGTCGAGAGATGCTGGGGGAGGAAATCATCACCAGTTCAGAGCTCTCAGGCAACCAGCTAGCCAGGTGAGCGTGACAGACGATATGACAGATGCAAGTTCACTGTTGAATGGATACATATTTAACTGTACTGAAAAATTGCAACTGACAAATGGAACACAAAAACAGATGATGCTTTTCTTATGTTTTCTTAAACAGTAAGATAAAAGGGAATAAGAATGCATCAGAGATCATAAAGACGGTGAATATGCTTGTGAGCTCCATCAACAGTGAATACCTGTGGGAGTACATGACCCGGCGCTTCTGCACTTCTCTCAGGTATGGCGGGATGATGATGACATGGAATTCTTAAAGAGGTGGTATTATGCTTTTTGGCTTTTCCCCTCTCCTTTATTGAGTTATATCTCTTTTTTGCGCATGTAATAGGTTTGCAAAGTGAAAAAGCCCAAAGTCCAGCCCAAAAGGAGTTCCCATCTCCCACAGAAAACACCGCTCTGAACTGCTTGAAAACAGCTCGTTTGTAGTCCAGCCTTTTCCTTTTGTTCACTGTGACGTCATAATGCTCGCCTAGCAACTAGTCCGACACGCCCTCAAAAATACAGGTGGAAAAACACACCGAGCTGCAGCACACAGTGACAAGACGTCCGCCTGCTGCATCTCCTCTCTCTTCCAAACACTAGCTACCGTCCAGGCATAAAGTTGTTACTGTGATGTAGAGACCGAGCTCAGGTATAACTTTATGGATGAAAGATACATTTTTTACAGATTAATAACTCACCACTCTGAAACTGTTGCTCCAGTCTATGTTGCCAAGGTGGTTAGGGGATATACAGCTGATCTGAAGCAGTGTTTACTGGCTTCTCACAACCTGCCCTACTCTGCTTCTGATTGGCTAGTAGTCCTTAACTAGGAACTGTGCATGTGCAACTCCCAACAAAGATCTTGGAGAGGTAAGATGCATCACTCCATAGCTAAAATGAAGCATTAAACAGGGTGAAAAGAGGAGCTGCAGTAATGTGCAGTATGAAAAAATATATATATATGGCTTTTGAAAATTAAACCTTGTAAACCTGTTCTAGTGCAACCCCTAAATAAGAAGTTATCAAAAGTTGACTAAACATCCCATCAACTCAGAAAAATGCAAGATTACATGGAAAAGTCAGCATTTACGCATTATACAGTATTACAGCATTACCAATGACTTTTAAAAACCAATGCCTGAATTCAATAATTAATAAATAATTTTTCCTTTGCAAAATAAAAATCACTGTTTATTTCTCTGTCTTTATAGTGAAAAAGATGACCCACCAACACCTCCTCAGCAGGACCGCAGTCACCCTGCCCCGTCTGTCACCGAAATGTCCAATCTCATAATTTTCCTGCTTGACGTTCTTCCTCTGGTAAACAACTTGCACACTGGTGCACCATTAGATCCCTCCCTTGTGAAACAAAGTTGCTGCAGTAAAACTTAGACTGGAAGGGGCATCTTTTTTTGACACAGGCCCAGAACAAATATTTGTTAATGATTCAAAAAAATATTTGATTTGCCTGAAAACCAGAATGTTGGAGTTTGACGTTTTGGCAAACAAAAACTACAAATTTAGATACATTGGTATTATTTTGACAAAGTAGAGACAATCGTTTTCCTTTGGTTGATCTTTTTTGCATCCCATTGGTACTTGGTTACAGTGTACAAATATTGACAGTTACTCAGCATTAGTAGACCGAAGTCTGACTCATAAACACACACCTAAAGAAATTTCTACACAAAAACAGTGTGGTTTTTTTCCTCACAGGAACTCTATGCTGACATCCAGTCCCAGCTCCTCCCTGAGATGCTGGGCACCATGTTGCGGACGCTGCGCAGCCACATGGACTCTGTTAGCCTGGAAGATGTCACACAGAGTCTACGTGCCTGCTTCAAGGTCTTGAGTAAGATCCAGATGCCTGTGGCCTATATGGACGTTGAGGAAGGGGCACACGCAGCGGACGTGGAGTTACAGTCGCCAGAGGAGGAAAGCAAACCGACCCAGGTTAGACATTTGAAAGTCCATGCCAATGTGGTTTTTAACAAGAAATTTTTTATATGTGACTTTGCCTCATTATATCAATAATACTCTATCTAGGATATGGAGAAGGAGGAAAAGACAGACGGTGGTGTTGGTCAGGTTAATGGTCACCATGGAGATGAAGAGCTGAACGGAGATAGTAGAGATGAGGCAGATCCTGCAAATGGTGTTTACCCAACACTCAGGTCTGAAGACAGTGGATTGGGCATCAGCGCCTCACCGTCGGAGCAGCACCTCCCCCCAGGGATGGCAGCTGAGGGAAATGCAATTTGTAAAGAAAGCGAGAGAGTGTGGAGGAGTGGAGGCAGTGTAGACACCATGACCCAGTGTCTGCAGGACATCCTGGCCTTCATAACCACAAGGTAAACTATTGAGCCATTATCATATTAGCTGCATCCTAGGTGGACCTCTTTTATCAACTATGCTATCACTAAATACTTTCATTCCTTCTGTGTTTCAGATACTTGCTAGTGCAAGTGGAGGATGTCAGGGAACCAGAGGAAGAACCCCAGCCAGATGTAACTGCTGCCTCTGTGGAACAGAAGACTTTGATGCAGAGCATAGGGGGACAGGAAATTAAAGACAAACTGACTGAACTGTTTACTCCAAACAAACTTAAACCCCGCACTGCACCTGACGCCCAGCTCTCAGCATCCCCCACGGAGAAGAAAAAGGAACGTGGGCATTCGGGGTGTCTGGACTGGGCGACTTGCTACATGCCCCGGAGCAGGGCAGAGATCTCTGAGGCCTGTCGACAGGCCTTCACCGCCACCTGCAACCTGCTGCTTGAGTGCACCACCTTCCCTGTCTACTTAAGTGAAGAGGAGGCTGTGTCTCTCCACACAGACATGTTTGGTCACACAGGTCAGCAGCAGTTCCAGCTAAGTATAAACAAATACATTGAGACCACCTTCTCAGCTACATGACTTTGAAGAAACAAATGAAAAACTGGTTAAGCAAAGGTCAAGTTTCCTTATCCTGACCTTTTAGTGTAGGTCAAGCTCTAAAACATTGGAATCCTCTCTGCCTGGTAAACACTCTGAGATAAGCCAGATGACATCAGTAGGTTTATTTTCGCAGATTTTAAAAAGCTTCTTCCAGAGCGACAGAAGACATTATACAACGGTTTTTACATGATGAGTAGTACTCCTTGTGATGAGGTAACTGATCTTAATGTGTCAAATTGCTGTGGTGCCCCTTTTATCTACAAATACATAATAAAAACATATTTGTTTTCCATAGGCAGGGATGTGGAAAGCCTACCAGTGTGGTTGAGGTCCTTGATGACCCTGTGCTGCCTGTCCAGGGACTACAACATCCAGCACACAGCAGTGGCCTCCCTGTTGGAACTCATCAACCACTCCCAGTCGTTAGCACTGGTCATACAGGACAAGCACAGACGCTACCAGTCATCTGACTCCAACCCTCTGAGTGGGCAGTTGCAGATGGTCACTGTGCCACCCATCTACCCTGCTCTGCTTCATGCCATAGAGCAGGGCACAGATTTCTACCAGGTTAGGTTATAAATTAGAAAATGTTGGTGTAACTTAAAGCTGTAGTATAAATGTGGTATATTAAGATTTTGCAATGTTTTTGCTGTGACCCAGAGGGTGTCCCAAGTACTATGGAGCCAGCTGGACACAGAGCGGAGAGAGCAGCACATTTCCTGCGTGGAGCTCTTCTACAGGCTTCACTGTTTGGCTCCTTCAGCGTTCATCTGTGAAGACATCATCTGCCAGGCGCTATTGCACAAAGACAAGGTGAATATACCTGAACACGTGCTGAACCACAATTTGTTCACACACATTAAAATCTTCTGGATGTGTCGGTTGAACTGGGACACACAAACACACCTCTACCAGGAAATGTTATGAGTTGAGCAAAAAAAAAGGTTTGCATTGTGTTTGTTTGCCCCAGGCTGTTAGGCTGGAAGCACTGCACCGCTTCACAATTCTATGGCACCTGACCCGGGAGGTCCAGACCAACAGGAGCATGTCTCTCAATCGCTCCTTCGACCGGTTAGTACATTTTTGAAAAGCAGTGAGGAGTTGGTGTCCTTTATTTAGTAAATCTGACTGTTAAATGTATGTCTCTCAGGTCTCTGTGTGTTGTGGTGGACAGTCTGAGCTGCACAGATGGCTCAATAAGTGCAGCAGCTCAGTGCTGGCTGGTCAGGGCTCTTTCCCTCAACGATGTGATTCGGATCCTGGAGCCTATTCTGTTTTTGCTGCTTCACCCCTCCACTCAGCGCTGCTCCATTCAGAGCATCAAACAAAATCTCACTGCTGGTAAGTGCACTTTGTCAGCGTGTGTTGTAAACAGTACTTTATGTTGCGGAAGTGAATACAATTTAATTTGGAGGACCGTTGGCTTGGCTATATATGTGTGTGTTTTGTTTCTCAAAGGTAATCTGAAGGTTCTAAGCAGCAGAAGTCGAAGCTCCACCAAAACTTCTGGGACATCTGGGGATGCCATGGCGACAGAGGTCACCACCTTAAATCTCATGAACATTGTGGACCGGGAATCCCTGTGGGCAGAGTTGGACAGTGGCCCGGAGTTGGCAAAACCACCGGAAACGTTAGTGTTATCTAGGAGTGAGAGTGAAGAGACAGAGGAGGAGGAGGAGGAGAGAGCGCAAGAGGATGAGGAGGAGGAAGAGGAAGCCGAAAGTGAACACACGGAGTCAGCTGACACCAGTGGTGCCCAGGTATCCACTGAGAACTCCAGCTCAGGCTCTGTGCCTTACCCGGGCATTGAGGAAGGAGGTGTGGTCAACGGCCTGCGTAGGGCAGAGTCCGAGCACACACAGGCATCTGATTCACTGTCAAGTGAGGATGAGGAGGATTTAGAGCTAGAGGCCATGGCCAGGTCTCGTCTGTTAAAACGGGAGCGTGAGAAGAGAGAGGCCATCGACTCTCTGTTCCGCCATGTGCTGCTGTATCCTATGGCGGGCGGCTGGCGCCATCTCCTTCAAGGCTTGGCACTGCTGGACAGCCTGCTGAGGAGCAGTGCTGAGTGCCCTCTGGTGGAGTCCCTCTCCTACACCTCTCTGGACACGAGCTCTGCTGCACATTTAAACTTGGTCTCCAACCTTCTTCAACGGCACCAACAGGCTCAGGATGGTCACGGCTTCTACGGCTGCATGCTTTCCCCTTCGTCCTCCCCCTCTGTGCCCCCATCCCTGCTCATTGAACTGCTGGTGTCCCTGTGTCTGCGATTCCTGCGCTCTCAATACCCTTCCTATCTAAGTCTGGGCCATCTTGACCTCCAGGGGAACAGGGAAGTGCAGGTGAAGAGCGTGGAGGTGCTGACCCGGATGGTGAACCAGCTTGGTTGCATGGCACGGAGACAAGAGGGCAATGAAGCCAGTATGGAGCCCATCCGCAGACTCCTCACAGGATGTAAAGTGCAGCAATATGCTCTGCTTACACTTTCTGCCTCCATGTATGTCAGCCAGAGGGGAACAGACAAGGGACCACCCAAGGGTGTGGAGCTGCTGGATGAACAGGGAGGCCTGTCAGAGGAGAGTCTAGTGAATCTTGGAGCAGGAGGGGGTCAGGAACAGTACCCCTTACAAATGGAATTACTAAAACTCCTCCATGCTCTAATAGTCCTGGAGTACCATGTGTGGCCTGGTGGGGCTGTCTCAGCAGCTGGGTCAGGTGGAGCATCTGGCCAGCCCACGGAGCCTCGTGAATCCCCAACTGCCAGCACCCCCCTTGCTCGTGAGTGGCAAACTGCAGTTCTTTTTCAGCAGTCCATCAAGGCAGCCCAGTACGTCCAAAGCCACCCCATCACAGCCCAAGGAATGTTTGTTTCAGCCGCGGCCAGGGCTCTGCAGCCACAGTACGGCTATGCCATGCACCCCCACTGGGTGTCACTGCTGTGCTCCTCTCTGCCATACTTGGGTCGGTCATTAGGCATCATTGTGGCTCCACTCATCAGTCAGATCTGCAGGAACTTGGATGAGCTGGTCAAGCTTTACGAGCATGACGGAGGAAAGATAAGTCAAAGGTACACTGAGCAACGCTGAAAACGCAGCTTTGTACACTGATGATTTGCCAGCTTTAGGTTTGTCCTTTTTTAATGTTTAGGGTTGCCATTAAGGTCGCTCTCCTAACATTAAAGGTTTTGGTCTCAAGTAAACAAATGATAAAAACCCATATGAAAAAGTAAACAAAAAAAAGAAAACAAAGTCATGGAAGAATAGTTTCCACTTTGCAAGTATAATATAGACAGAACAAAGACACACTGCTTAGTTCATCAAAAATATACACTGAGAACATCATTGTGGTTAAAATGAAATGTTTGATACATGTTTCTGTCTTCTGATCAGCCTGAGTGGGAGGAGAGAGAACATTGCCCCTGACTACCCTCTGACCCTGCTCGAAGGCCTGACCGCTATTACACACTATTGTCTGTTGGACAACAAGAGGGTGAGGAATAACACACACACACACAGGTAATTTACCTCTTACATCCATGAGAATGTAGATGCCCATGTTGCTCTCTCATTCTCTCTTTCAGTCCTTGGTCGCCTGCGATCCTGTGGATGTCCGTAATGCACGCAATGCTGTGATCGAAGCACTACCGCACATGCTCAGTAGTATGGCATTGTTATGGGGTGTGGTCATGAGGGAGGAGTTTCAAAGGCGGGCATCTGACTCTGCCCAGAGCAGCAGACACACTTCTACCTCTGTCTACTTTAAAAGTACCAAGGTGTGTGTTGCGTACATGCATATTTTCTGCATTTCTTTAGGCGAGCGCCATTGTATTTAACGACAGATCTGTGGCATTTATGTTGTATGTGTTCTGTTGATCCTGTAATATGTGTGTATGTATCACTCATAATCCTCCATGTATTATTATTATTATTATTATTATTATTATTATTATTATTATTATTATTATGAATTTTGATTATTATGGAAAATGTAATCTATTTACGGTGTGTGCATGTTCAGATCTTACGGCAGCGGATACTGGAGTTCCTGGTCCCTCTGACTGGGCAGTATGGAGTTCAGCTCATGGCTTCAGTGGGAGCAGTGTGGAGCAGTAGGAAGAGTAAAAGGAGACACAAAAACAAAGTAAGATCTGCAGTGTGTCTAGAAACAACAAGGACATACAAAGCCTTTAGGGTACTTGTTTGCAGCAAACTCTCCTGTCTTCTTTAGGTTTTACCTGTGGCCAGTGAGGCTCGTCTAACCATTGTGGATCTGGTGAAATCACTGAACACCTTGCACACAGATACTATCCTACACTTGATCAAGGAGGTGGTGAAAAAACCACATCAGATCAAAGGAGAACAGGTACACAAACATTCATACATGCACAAAATGTGCATGTTGGAAGTGTCTGAAGTGAATTTTTCATCATTTAGTAACATGTTGTACTTTTCCCTCCATCAGAGGTCAACTCTGGTAGACATCCCCATGTTACAGTTCAGCTACGCCTATGTCCAGAGGTAAGAAGGAAGTACAAAGTCCTGCCTTAAGTTTAAGACCATTCTACAACAGCTCACTTTTCTAATAATCTCTCATTTCTCTATGTAGTATTCCACCTCAGGCTCTGCAGGAAAACATGACTCCTCTCCTCAGTCTGCTACGGGAGTCTGTTCAGCTCAACCTGGCTCCGCCTGGGCACTTTTTACTGCTGGGGTCAGTTTTTACATATTCAGTACTTATTCCGTACTCTAATATGTGGTAGTTGTACTTGTATAGTACAGAATATGGTCCTACTTAAATTATGACATTGACAATGATTGGCCTGCTAGTTGTGTTTGTTGAAATTGTTAAACATGTTTCCTTGTAAATATTTGTCAATTGTTTGGGGGAGGGAAATATGATATTCATTAAAGGTTTCTGTCTTGCAGAATCCTCAATGACTTTGTCAATAGGCTCCCCAACCTGGACAATAAGAAGGACACTAGAGATCTGCAGGTATGATGCTGGTGTTATATTGCTATACATACAGTCCCCTCCAAAAGTATTGGAACGGTAAGGCAAATTCCTTTGTTTTTGTTATTCACTGAAGACATTTGGGTTTAAGAGTTCAGAATTTCAGCTTTTATGTCCTGGAATTCACATCTAGATGTGTTAAAGAGCTCAGGACATATCACCCTTTGTATTAGACCACAGCATTCTTAGGTGAGCAAAAGTAATGGAACAAATAATCTTAAAGTAAATAACATTTAATATTTGGTGGCATAACCCTTGCAATAACTGCCTCAAGCCTGCATGCGCTATTGGGTTAAGGTCAGGTGATTGACTTGGCCAGTCTAAAACTTTCCACTTTTTTCAACTGATGAAGTCCTTTGTTTTGTTGGCAGTGTGCTTTGGGTCATTGCCCTGCTGCATGATAAACTTCCTCCCGATTAGTTTCAATGTATTTCTCCATAAATTGGAAGACAAAATGTTTCTGTACACTTCTGAATTCATTCTGCTGCTACCATCATCAGTTACATCGTCAATAAATATTAATGAGCCTGTTCCAGAAGCAGCCATGCACACCCAAGCCATGACATCACCTCCACCATGCTTCACAGATGGGCTTGTATGGTTCGGATCATAAGCAGTTTCTTTCTTTCTCCACACTTTGGCCTTTCCATCACTTTGGTAGAGATTAATCTTGGCCTTATCAGTCCATAAGATTGTGGTCCAGAACTTTAGCGGCTCATCTCTGTACTTCTTTGCAAATTTCACTCTGGCCTTCTGATTCTTCCTGCTGATGAGTGGTTTGCATCTTGTGGTGTGGCCTCTATATTTCTGCTCTCTGAGTCTTCTTCCAACAGAGGATTGTGATACCTTCAACCCTGCACTGTGGAGGTCGTTGGTGATGTCACTTACTGATGTTTTGGGGGTTTTCTTCACAGCTCTCACGATATTTCTGTCATCAACTACTGTTGTTTTCCTTGGCCGACCTGTTTAACGTCTGTTGCTCAGTGCACCAGTAGTTTCTTTCTTTTTCAGGACAACCCAAATTGTTGTGCTTGCTATGCCCAATGTTTGTCCAATGGGTCTGGTCGATTTTCCGTCTTTTCTCAGCTTGACAATGGCATGCTTTTCTCCCATAAACAGCTCTCTGGTCTTCATGTTGGTTTATCCTCTTTAACAGGAAATGCAGTCTTTATAGGTTTGAACCAAGGATGAAAACTTAGACCAGTCATGCAGAACTATTTAATGTTTGGACAATCAACCTAAAAGGCAACACCTGGGCAACAAGAAACATCTGTCAGCCACATGTTCCAATAGTTTTGCTCATTTGAAAAATGGGTGGGTTCAAACAAAGGCTGGTATATCCTGAGTTGTTTAACACATCTAGATGTGAATACCGGAGGAGGGGACTGTATAACTGAGATGGCGAGCGAGTGCATGCAAGATAGTGTGGTGATATTCATTGTCACTTTATCGTGCAGGAGGTGACTCAGCGGATCCTCGAGGCAGTGGGTGGCATCGCAGGGTCATCATTGGAGCAGACCAGTTGGCTCAGCCGCAGTCTTGAGGTCAAAGTTCAGCCACAGGTGTGCCCTGAAGCAGACGAACCAGATGACGCCGACGTGGAGGGTGACCATTATGGTAACTTTAGAAACCTCCGGACAAATGCATGCATGCACAAAACTCACCTGCAATGCTTAGCCACTGGTTGAGAAAATTAACCCAGGAGGGTTAATTACCATGGTAACTGGGTACGGTTAACCGCACTATTATAGTCTCACAGCAAACACTGTCCAGCGTCTCCTAGATGCAGGCTCGCATGCGCAGAATGTAACGTGGGTTTGTTTGGGTCAATGACAACACAGCGGAGGACAATGTTGCGGAGTCACTCTGAAGTCTGGTCGTTTTTTTGTTTTTGTGAGAGCGCTGAGGGACACTTGAAAATGACCTTATAGTGAATGCAGGGTGAGTTAACTTTTTTAGCTTTGGTTTGTCTGTCTGAATTGCTAACAGCGTGTAAACTGAAGCTCTCAGTGTTGCTGCTCTTGTAAAAACACTACACGTTGTTCTGTTGCTGTGTGCGTCGTGTGTCTGCAGACTCCATTCGTCCACTGCACATGATAACACATTATGCAGTTTAGTCAACCAACCATCATATCTAGAAACGCTACAGACTGCTCTGTATTTATGTCGGTTTTTAGGCTCATTGCAGTTACTATCACTGTCTTCTAAAGACTTATTTGTTTCCATGTAATTGTCCATATAAAATCTTGATAATGCACACTTAGATGATTTTCATATGTTTACAAAAGGTATTTGCTGTCATTTTATTTTTTATGCAAACAAAATGGCAATTGTATTGGTAGTTTTCAATATAAAACTTGCTGAAATGGTTTCAGTGTGTGTATCAGTACATTTTGATATTTTTTGGCACATTTTTACAATACCATGATACTGAAAACGTGATGATTTTGGTCACTATAATCGTGATATAAAATTTTCATACTGTTTCATCCCTAGTCCTAAGTGTAAAGTGTAAATTAAAGGAACAACCTGAATACCGGTTTTGAGAAATGTAGCAAACAAACATGCTTGCACACAGGAAACAATTAACTTCCCATTGTGCTCTGTGACTTCAATTCAGAGTTCATTATTAGGGCTCAGGTGGCAGGAACGTCATTCATAAACAAGGACTAAAGTGACATTTGCATTTAGATGTATGGAAACAGTACAGGATAGAACCCTTGACCTGCTTTCTGGGACATTTTCCTGGAATGGTTTGGGGGTCTCCTTAGGAGGGGTAGCTTAAACTCAGTATGAAGTTATTCATGTGAGTGATCACATTTATTCAATAAAGAAACACTGCTATCCTTATTGTTACCTATATGTATTCGCACATGTTGCATCCACCCAGAATTATTACAAGTTTGAGTTCACTTGTGACTGTAACACTCTTCTTTCTCTCCTTATCTCCTTGTTAGAGTCAATGGCTCAAGCTAGCACAATGGTTTCCTCTTCGGCTCCCTCAGTTTACAGTGTGCAAGCTCTTGTGCTCCTGGCTGAGGTAGGAGTTTTTAAGGTTTTATTTATGGCGAGAGAATGAATGGGATGACTCTTTGTGTGCATTGTTCAACACATTTTCTCACTGTGTAGATCTTGGCACCACTTCTGGACATGGTATACCGCAGTGATGAGAAGGAGAGAGCTGTTCCTCTCATTTCTCGGCTCATGTACTATGTTTTCCCCTACCTGAAGAACCATAGGTAATTAACGTTGCAGGGCCATATTAACGCTAACAGCTTTGGTCTCCTTGGTCTTAGTAAACTTCCTCTAACTTGGTCTTTCTCTCCTCTAGTGCCTACAACATGCCCAGCTTTGAAGCGGGTGCTCAGTTGCTGAGCAGTTTGAGTGGGTACGCCTATACCAAAAGGGCGTGGAAGAAAGAGGTATTTGAGCTCTTCATGGACCCCCTCTTCTTCACCATGGATGCCTCCTGTGCTCCCAGGTTAGTATGTTTGTTTGTCGGATAGGAATTTATTTACACACAATTGTTCCCCTCTCTTCTACAACTAGGAACGTCAGGAATACTGAACGAGACACACGCACACAGAGAAGAGTCATAATAACTGCCACATAGCATAATATAATGGATTGATAGTGTATGGCAGTGAATGGTGAAAACATTCCTCATATAAAGACCCATCATACAAGATGTGGGGCTTACCACTTAGAGAAGAGTAGAAGAGAGAGTGCAAGTCAAAGAGTCAGTCTTCTGCAGCAGACTGGACTAAGGTGGTTAATTTGTCAAACAAATCCAGGCGTTGATACGGCTCAAGACTTGTTTGTTTGTTAATTTGTTCTTCCTCCTCTTTTCCTGTAAGTAACCATATGACTCTTGAACAATAGGATGCCCGTCTGTTGCTAGTGACCCTTTACAAATGTGGACATATCTGGTATAACTCACCAGCAGGTGTAGTTTCTCCAGAAACTCAAGTTTGATATAAAATATGCCATGTCATGTTTAGTCCAGGTCACTTAAACTAGTGATAACTTCTGTAATAAAGGTCACGATCATTTAACTGAAAACCATAATATTTTCAACATGCAGAAGTAACTTCAACTTACTAATTTTTAGACTTTAAAGCAGTTGTTAGTCTGAAAATTGTTGTTGAGTGTGTGACCTTTATGACCAGAGCTTACAGAAGGACAAGTGAATGAATACTTATGATTAAAACAAACAAAACCCTCATTTAAAAACTACCACCTCCATTGTGTTTGCACCTGTTGTCATCTATGCAATAATTCTTAGTTAATCGGGGTGTTAGGCAGCCCTAATGCACTAAGGGCATTAGGGCTGCCTAACACCCCGAGTAAAGCTTACTAAATTGCATGTGCATTTAAAAATATTGCACGTGTAATTGTAGTACCTGTTATGGGTGATTAACTAAGAATTATTGCATAGATGACAAAAGTTGCAAACACAATGGAGTTACGCCCCAACGCCCCATTCCCTTTCCGATACCTACAATGGGTTGTGTCGCTATTACAACTGGCAGTTGGTGATCGTTCCCTCTGGCTAGATGAATTTTATGCATGATCCATGCACTACTGCAGCTGGGGGCTCTTCGCTGCGCCAAGCAACTTTCTAAATTCTTCCATCTCACAGAGAAAAGAAGGTCAAAACGAAAATTTGCTTTATCTGCAAGAATGTTAATACAACAGTATTGCCAAAGCTTCAAGGAAAACAATTCAAATCATATAGAAATCGAATAAATAAAATATAATAATTGTATTTCTATATATTTGATATAGAATAATATTATCTAATATTTTTAATTTATCTATCTCTTTAATTTAATTTATCCACCTCATTCGTCATCATCACGGCTGTGTCTCCTCGGTACGATAACAGCAACAACACTTGGCAGTTTGCACCTTCCTTTGAAATGTATTAAATACAGATGCTGTTGCACCATAGACTGTATGTGTTGCTCTCACATAAAATTGCTTTTAGGCTTAGATCACATTGCGCTTACTAAATAAATGTATTTCCATGTTAACCTCCCGTTACCAAATTGCATATTCATTAAGGCAAAAGTAGTAATAATAGGTGCTATCTTGCACTTTTGAAAGACATCATTCTCCGTGCACACCGTAGATCAGCTTACATGTTAATTTGCTGGTGATATCAAGTTTGCACACGTTTTTACTCGCGCAAACCTTTAGTAAATGTGGCCCTAAATGTTCTCACTCCAGCAAATGCGTTTAATCAGGGTTTCAGATTTTTTTAGACACTCTTGCTCATACTTCAGTCTCATTTGTTGTTGTTAATGCATGGAGGCAGTTGGGTAGAGCTTGAGAGATGTGACAAGTTCACAGATCTAGCTGTAGGAGAGCAGGGACAACTTTAACATGACTGTCTGAAACCAAAGCTATGATTGCAGATAACGCATGCCTTGTGTAAAATGACCTTACTGTATATTAATAAAAATAATTTTGTCTGTCAGGTATAGTTAATGTTATTGCATAAATGATTTGGAGATCAACAATGTCTAATGTCCTGTGCTTGACTCTCCTGTGTTCTCTATAGTTGGAAATCCATTACTGACCACCTACTGACTCATGAGAAGACCATGTTTAAAGACCTCCTGAGTGAGTACCGCCTGTTTGTGGTGCTTGAAAGATACAAATGTAGTCTAAAGGTGACAGCTAATCTGTGACTCAGAAGGTGAATGTTACTTTTATAAGTATAGATTAGATAGATAAAGAGTAAAAGGAGAGGGCTATTATGAATTGTCAGAGATTTTCAAACCAGTGCATTCAAAATGCCACATCTGTTCAAATTACAGAGATATTGATTTTGATTATTTGCTGTCTTTATTTGTGCTGTAGGCATGCAGAGTGGCTCACTGAAACTGTTTACTAATACAGACCAGAAACCCATGCTGCTGAAGCGCCAGGCATTTGCCCTGTTCAGCGGCGAACTCGACCAGTATCATCTGTATCTGCCCCTCATCCAAGGTGTGGTACTGTTACCGGATATTTATGGAGATGTTCATGTAATTCTGTTCAATTTAGTTGTAGAAACAGACATTTGTGCTGTTTAACGATGATAAACTTTCCCTCCTTTCAGAGCGTCTCACTGAGGCTTTGCGTATGAACCCTAGCGCTGCTGTTTCAGCCCAGATGTTCCTCATGTTTCGTGTTCTCCTGTTGCGGATTTCATCCCAGCACCTCACGTCACTTTGGCCAATCATGGTCACCGAACTGGTAAAATCCCACTCTTGGAGAGGCTGGCTTTATACACAGGGCCAATACTGTACAAGTGTCTATTTTAATTAACTAATGGAACTGCTACTTGGTTTTTTTTCAGATTCGTATATTTGTACGTCTAGAAAAAGCTCTGCAGGCAGAGAAAGACGTCTCAAAGTGAGTTAATTCCTTATTTCACAAATTCATATTTGATTGATGCTCTGTTGATGCTCTGGCTAAAAATACTTTCTTTATATGTGTACCCAATAGGCTGGCTAAAGTGGTGCGCGGAGCCCTCGATAGAAATGGACCAGTGAATTTCTCTCCGGCAGAGTTGGACATGTACCTGTCAGCCTGCAAGTTTCTGGACACCTCCCTGGCTTTTCCTCCAGAGAAACTACCACTCTTTCAGATGTAAGAGCCCGATTCAGGACAAAAGGACTTCATTCGAAAACATGCTAACACATGTGTTTATTTAAGTTGTGGTGTTGCATTAGTTATTTTGTCTACATACTATTTTCTATCTTACATTTTCTTTGTAAATGTTTGGTTCATGTACAGGTACCGTTGGGCATTTGTCCCTGAAGTGGATGTGAACCGTTACGGTGGCCCAGAGACTGCACTGATAGAAGGCGAGCAGGAATGCACACCCCATGTTGTCAGAGCACTGGAAGCAATACAACAGCGATATGGGGTAAGATCATGTGTGGGTTAAAATAGTCAATTTCAAACTTACAGATAGTCATTCCCAACTTTAACTGTCTACACCCCTGAAAGGTCATTTTGATGAGATGCTTAGAATTATTGTTAGTTATACTATGCCCATGGAAAATCTGTTTTGTTAGGGGGCAGCTCAAACTGGCGAAACTGGTCTAATCCAAAAATAAAACTTTGTTTCTAATGGATGAGTACTAAACACAGCCGTCCCCCTTTTTTTTTTTTTTTTTTTACAGAGGATATATATAGGAATTTTCTGATCTCTACGAAACAAAGTAAATAGTGTTCTTCCCCTCCCCGTTGTCAATTATTTTCTTAAACTGGGAAACACTTAGGGCCCTGTTTTAATGATCTAAGCACACAACATGAAGCGTGTGGCGCAGTTGTGTTCGGGGCGTGTCCCTGTCCAATTTTGCTTGTTTAATGTCAGAAAAAATGGTCAGTGCGCCAGGTGCATGGTTCAAAAAGGTTGTTTTGGGCGTAACATGCAATAAACTAGTCAGTGTCATCTACTATGTCTTTTCAAAAGCCAGGTGTGCTTGTACCTTGGCGCATTGCTATCATATTGGCCGATGAATGAATGGTGCATTATAAAAACCATCAATTGATTGAATAGCAGACTCACAGAAGAGGGGGGATATGGACAGAAGTGTGGACATGATAAAACCGTCTCTGATCATGAAGCCTAATGTTAATCTACAGCTCTGTGGTTTATCAGTAAAGTGTCTGAACTATACTGCAGACTGGAGTCTGTAGACAGACAGACGCTGTCTCCTCTTTGAAACGTATGGATCCTCACTGTAGTGCATTATTATAAACCATGATGAACTGGTCGTGGGTCACATCTCTCTCTCTCTCTTCCAATGGTTTCTTTATTTTGTGTTTTATTGATGTGTATCAGCATTTTCTTTAACAATTTACTTTCATGATTAGAGAGGCCGCTGGCATTTTAAACGTTTCCATGTGGGCAGGAAAGTTACAACAAATATCGTGGGGCATTTAAGCAGCAAATCTTTGGTCAATCTCTTTCTGCTGCCTCAAGATAGCAATGCTCCAACAATTTGCCTGACCACACTTCATTTTAAGACCAACACTCCCGTGGGCACACAGATGCATGTTCTATTGCTGTTTATATAACGTGGGTGCTGGGAGTGAAAATGACAACTGCGTTAGTTGGAAACTAGCAGTGACACTTGTGCCACGCTTTGCGATAGGGCCTTTCACATAAATGTTGTCAGACTCAAAAAGCTGATGTGTTGAGCCTAGTGCAGACTGCACGACGATGGCCGATCACTGTGCTGTTCACACTACACAACTTGCCGTCTTGTGACGGGAATCTTGAAGTCGCTGTGGCGTTCACACAACATGACTGATCGGTGACAGAGGGTCACACACTACACGAGCTGACAACAACTGTCACCCGCCGCTGGTCTCCAAACCATGTTTTGTCAAGAAAACGCACGTGAAATGTGAAACAGGAAATGACGCGAACCTACACACGAAACAGCTGTTTGTTTGTTATTATAAAGATACCAGTTATAAAGGCAAAAATATGGGTGAAAGAATGGATTAGCACACGCAGGTAGCAGAGATCGTCTGAGCTAAAGAGAGAGCTGGAGGTGAGTAAAATGTGTTTTGCAGTGAAAAAGTAGCTGCCTGCTCTCATTGGCTGGATGTGGATGTCGAGTTGACCGACTCCTCCGCATATTTGGCATGATAGATATCTGGCAGATATCGGGCTAAAAATCGTGTAGTGTGAACTACGCTTTAATGGCATAATTTTTAATGAATCCCTGTGTCAATGAAAAACCAAAAGTCACATCTATTTAAGTTCTGTTAAGTCGCTGTGTCCATGATTTCCTGTTCTGCTATTTCAGACACTGAACGGGCTGAGTGAGGAATCTTCCACAGAGCATTTGGAGTTCCCCCTCCTCACTCAACGCTCCTTGTCCTCCATTACCCAGCTGTTGCCTTTCCTTCGCACCCTTTGCTGTTCCTTCCAGGGCCCTGCCCCCTACAGCCACTCAATGTCCCACTTCCCAGTAGCAGACTACCCACCAGCCAGTTCAGACACAGTCCTGAAGAGGCTGGAGCATATCACTGAAGAAGAGTTCCTGGACCCCATGGAGAGTTAGAACTCAAGCATGAAGCTTTCATGAACTAATACCTCTTAAGCTTTTTGACCTGCAGCCATACGCGTGGAATACATAAAAAAAAAATATATAAAAATAAAAAAATAGGTAATGTTGTATTGTGGGCAAGAAAAAAAGGAAATGTGGTAGGAATGGAATTCAGTTTTTATTAACATTTTAACTTGTCTCATCCCCACAAAAATACATGAACCCCTGAACTGCTTTCACACTGAATCTGTACTGGAAAAAACAATGGACTTAATTATTTCAATGGGCTCCTTGAATGATAAGTATTCATTGCAAATCCCTGTAGAATGCTTAATTCTCTCTCAAGGAGAAGTATCATCTCAGTTGCACAATATTACACATTGAGATTGTGTCATAGTGTCTAATCTCTTTGCATTATATACTTTTAGACAAAAAAAAGCTACCACTAAAATTATATTATGCAAACCAACTTAAATGATTACCTATTGTTATTATAAGGCATGCACCTTATACTAGCAGTAGTTCCAGTAAAGATGTTTTAGATTGACAGCACACAGCAGATTCACTGTGAAGAACCTCGTTAACCATCGATAATGTGTTCTTCTTTTCCATAACCTCTGGTTAACCACACTGTCTAGTATACTTATGTCTGTCTGACTCTGAGAATGTAAAGACTACAGAATAGCCTGCAGAGCACTGTTGTAGAGGTACTTTCTCTTTGTTATTGGATACATCATAATGGGACCTCAAGATTTATGTTTAGAGTTTTATGAGTAAGTTACTGAATGTGATTTGTGTACATCAGGAGAACCCTTTGAAATATTAGTGGGTGTGTTTCGCTAATTGCACACTTGCAATTTTTGGTGTTCAAGGGAAATCCGCTGTTCTTTGTAGTTGTTCATGGATAGTTTTTAAAACTGCCTGTTTTTTTTCCACAGTGCTGAATGATTGTGTAATTTATTTTGGATGTTTAAAGGACCATGTCAAGTTTTGAATTAATCAAAAGAAGACTCATTAATAAAATATTAAGTTGAATTACTGTGTTTTCACTGTGTTACAGCTTTAGTGGCCTGTTTTTCTGTATTTACGTTTGAGGGAAATAGCTGAGTCATTCAAAACTTTGACAGAAATGCCAGGGTTGGCGGTTTGAACCCCGGATCCTCCTGTCCACATGTTAAAGTGTCTTAGGGTAAGACACTGAGAACTGAACTGTGTGTGTGTGTGTGTGTGTGTGTGTGTGTAAGTAAGTAAGTGAGAAGGGTGAATGAGATGCAAATTGGAAAGCTCTTAACGCTAAATGTAGTTAGCAATATGCCAACACGTAAAGCATTCTATTTTGTGCACATCATTCACAAAATATTCCGTGTGACTGTACACAATCTGAAAACAAGTCAGGTAAAGCAATAATTTAGGGAACGTAGTCTCCTGGTGCAGCAACAAATGTGGGGGAAAAATCCCTAAGCTTCAAACTGTTTTAGCACACTTGGAAAGCAACATCACATTTATAACAGCCCGTCACCCAGACCCTTCATTTTTGCATTACGACTTTATTCAGAATCAGCTTTATGGCCAAGTAGCTTACACTTACAAGGAATTTGCTTTGGTGACTTGGTGAATTCCAATAAACATAAAATATTAAAACAATTAATTGATATAAGGAGAATATCTATACAGAATATGTGCAAAGAGCAGAGGGGAAAGAATGCTGCCTTAAGGGAGCCAGTGCTGATGGTCCTGGAGTCGAAGACATGTTTTCCCAGCTCGACGTCCTGCGAAGTCTGTGATCCACTGCAGGTGGAGTCAGGCACGCTCTGCAGAGAGAGCTTGTCCTGCAGCAGAGCTGGGATGACGGTGTTAAAAGCTGAAGTCCACAAACAGGATCCTGGCATAGGTTCCTGAGGAGTCCAGGTGCTGGAGGATGAGGTGAAGGGCCATGTGTACTGCATTATCTACAGACCTGTTGGCTCTGTAGGCCATTGAACCGCATGGGTCTGTGATCCAGGAGCTGCTTCCAGGAGTGGATCTGTGGGGCGTTGCTGATAGCCCCAGACCCCTGCTGAGGTGTGGAAGATGGAGATGGCTCCTGCTGGGCTATGGGAGCTGGAGCTGGTGGTCTGGAGCTGATAAACGGAGTCACAGGGGAAGGTGTCAGGACAGTCCTAACTGTCCCATTGTCTTTCAAATTGACAGTAGAACTGCGGGGGGCTTTAGGTTGGTAGTTTGTGATCTGCCTGAGCCCCATCCAGACAGAAGCAGAGAACCGGTATTGTAGTCTCCATTTTTTTAGCTTCTTGCAGACCATGCTAAACCTCTAGTTTAACTCTCTAAAACCTGGGCCTGTCTCCACTCAAAAACCCCTCACAGAAGCTGATGTAGGACATCACAGCCTATGTGAACCTCCCAGTGAGTGCAGTCCAAGCACGCCGGAAGGTCCTCCATAGCTTCACTTGTCAGGTTTACAGAGCTTTAATATCTGCCTGTAGGCTAAGGAGGGCCCTGCTTACTGTAGTAACAGTGATCCGTGAATATTCTCCTCTGGTCGGACATTTAATTTTAATGAACTGTATCTGGGGAGTACATTGTCAGGGAAAATAATTCCTTAATACGGAGTCAAATGGATGTGATGAATTATTCTTTATGTAACGTGGCCACGGAGAGAAAGCATGGTTTCTCTCCCGAAATCAGCATTTTCTCTTCTTAAATACAGACAACTACAAAACTCAACAGCCAATAGTAACTGCCAAGACAAATGGTAGACAAGGGAAACAAATGGCAGATCACATCTAGAGTATTAGCACACACTCAAAGGCTCTTCCTGAGCGGAGAAAGGAAATGCAAATGTATGTGTCATCAGAGATATTTCCCTACCTCTTGATTAGTCTATGTTAAAACTCTCACCTACATGCCAGCAGACGTTTATTTTAAGTCAGAAAATCCATTGATTAAAAAAAAACTGTGATCAATGCTAATTTCTCAGTTACAGTGAATCCTAAGAATCAGAATTTATTTCTCACAACATACACATTATTACACACATATGACATACACACACAGCCACACACACAAACACGCCCTCAGCAGGATGTTCAGACACACATACAACCAGCTAAGTAAAAAAACCTAAAAACTGTTTTTGTCTTTTGCAGGTGACTACCGTATGTTTTCTGAAATAAGGTCCCATGTGGGATACTGAAAGGGGACTCCATGGGACCACACGATGCGAAACATGCGGGTAATTTAATAGCCAGAAGTCTAACTTTTTTGACATCCATGTACAGATTTGCAATAAACTGTTTTCACATTTAAACAGCGTGCAAAGACTTTGCTGACTGTATGAGTTAATCTGATATGAATTGAAGTTTCTGTGTACTGTGACCATAACATTTCTAATAGTTTTTTTCAGATGCATCATTCAGTCATTACTTCCACTGGAAATCATGCAGTTGAACTCTGCACAACATTGTGCAACTTTACCACTGCCCCCTTGCCCTTAATACAAGCCCACCCTACCACCCAGGCTTCAGCTGCACCTAGAAGTCCAGATTAAAAATGCCATTACATTAAAAGGTAATATTATTACTTTATTATTAGGCTACATGTGAAAGCAAGCTGGTCCCAGGAAGCAACTGATCAAGCTCCATAGTACATGCAAATAACTCCTCTTGTCTGGCTTTTGACACCATTATTTACCTATCCTGCTTGTTTAACAAAACTAGGCTCCATTTGTTCCATTGTTCAGACTGTAAAAAATAAAAGCCTTCATTCAATAAACATATTGTAATCAGAAAACGTGCAAGTTTGTGTGCTGAAATCAAAGAGAAGGTAAGGGCCATCCTGACCCATGTTCATCAGAGCCAACAGGAAACGCTGCTGCTGTGGGAGAGGCATGCAGAGTGATACAGTGTAGGAACCTGCACTTCTAATAACAAAACTTGTCTGATGGCCAAACTTTATTCTCTTATCAATATCAATATCAATATGATAACAGAACATTCCTTGTATATCAATAATGATCACTATAAAGTATGTAATGCTACGTTATGAGATACTAAGTCATTGTTTTGAGAATGTTTCTCATTATGTTGCGATACTTATTATTTATTATTTTGAGATATTAAGTCATAACAATTAGTAACAGAGTTACTATTGCATTATTATAATAACAAATGCAACGCAGGGTGTTAGGATTGAGGTAAATAATTTCGTTTCCGATGAAAAATTGACTTCACTCCTCCTACCGACGTGCGTATTTACGTAAAGATGGCGGCGCAGGCTGACCGCGGTGTCCCGTTGAGTACGGTGAGTAAAATTTACTCATTTATTTAAGGATTTTTTACAGTTATAACTGGATACAGTCTACAGATGTTGGCATTGGAGTTAAATAACGCTATAATGTAGACAAACTGTTTTCAGATGCCATATTGATTGTAACGTTAGTCTCCACAGAGCTCTGTGGTCCCCGTTCACTCGGCGTCAGCTAGCAAATTAACGTTACGTTACCGCTTAGTAACGTCAGTGATGTTAGTACACAACTTATTTGACGCTGTAAAACATATTATTGCACGTAGCTACACTGTCTGCCTGTGGTGTTAAACCGCCGAGTCTAAAGGCAAAGGTTGACTTCCGGTTCGCTGTAACAGTAACGTTACTGATGTCTTTTGCAATGTTTCCTAACCGTCGACTCTAGCATATAATTTAACTTTAACTTACCTGTTAACTATTTACAATTTATTTTTCATTGTTCTAATTCAGTTTATTTTATCAAATATCATCACCCCAAAACACACGTTATAACGTTATACGCATGCTATTCATGCAGTATCACATCCACCTATCTCATGTAACGTTACGTAAAAATACCTGCACAGAAATATTTATTTCAGCATCCTTTGCACTCTGCTCTATTGCACTATTGTCTTGCTATCTAACGTTGCAAATGTTGTTTTCGGGTTTATGTTCGTGCGTATTTGTGTATCTGTGCAGGGTAGTTTGTGTCTGCTTTGGTTGAGTTTGTTGTCAATGCTTGTTCTGTGTATGTATACATTGAGACCCACGTAAGACGAGGCAAATTCCTCATATCTGTACACATAACAGTTACCTGCATAACAAAAGTTACTCTGGTTCAGATTCTCCACTTAAAAAAAATAACATATAATAACAGCCTGCTGACCGCTTAAACTTTTAGCTGTTTCCCAAATATACACTATGCCAGTACCATATATTTACTTTATCTTTAAACAAGTATAACATTTTTGCAGTTTGTATTAAAGAAATAAATGTTCTAAACCGTCACGTTACCTGCGACAAATGTCAATCAAGCTGCGTGTTTTGGTAAACTAACTGCTGATTTCAACACAAAGAAAGCAAAATGTTTTACCAAAGATTTAGGCCTAATAATTTTTCGGGTTTGTTACTTTGTGGGACACAAAGTGTCTGCACCACATTGCTGCTGTCACATCTGTGAAAACACAATTTCACTTTTTCTCTGTCCAGACCATATAAGTAATGGGCTGATGAGTATAGAGCTGTTCAGAGAAGATTTTGGTGGGGGCGTCCTCTGACTGGGGACACTGTTGCATGTCATCCCACTCTCATTCTCCCTACATTACATCATTTAGCTGACGCTTTTATCCAAAGGGACTTACTATTGCTATGTAAGGGGTCACACAACTAGGGGTTAAGTGTCTTGCTCGGGGACACATTGGATTTGTTGCAGTGGGATTCAAACCTGGGTCTCCCACACCAAGCGCATGTGTCTTGTGCACTACACCATCTCCAACCCCATATTTCTCATCTCTCTTCACTGTAACATATCAAATAAAAGCAAATACTTTAAAGATATAAGATGACCATATAAATGCCATCCATAAACATTAAGTGTTTCCAGAGCAGTAGTTTCAGACTATAATATAACTATAATCCACATCTATATAAATTGTCAAATGTGCATTAATTACTATACTGGACAGGATGAAAGAGTATATTAATGCTTTTTTGTTGTTTGAAAGAGCAAAAATACATTAGAAAACACAGAAATTACAAATTAAACTTATTCTACATATAAAAGATGTAGAAATATTGAATTATATTGTCTTTATTTCAAATCATAAAGCCTTGTGTGTAACACACAAGTGACTGTCTGATGTCTAGCTTAGTTTAGAAAACTTCTGGAGCTCCCTCAAATAATCTGTGTGCTCAGACCAGTTCCTAACATTTAGGAATATTTATGCACAGCATCTATTCTCAAAATCCTTAGGCACTTAAGACCAGAATTTTACACTTGAGTGGTCATCCAGGTCTAAATAATGGCTTGCACTTCCAATAAGACATGTGCTGTCAATGGAGTCACATTAGTCATATATGTTATTTATATGAAGACAACAAGCACCATCAATCAGACAGGTACTGACTGACAAGAGCAACACACTCTAATATTTGATGTTAAATTCAGTTTTGGAGACAGTTTACACCAAAATGCATCAGAGATCATTTGACCACATGCGCACGTCAAACCTGTTCTAAGAATCACATTGATATGCAAATGTTTTCAATAAGCCAAAGCTATATTATCCAGTGTAAGGGTTACATTTATGTCAACATATCACACATAAGATTATATTGAACGTATAACATTTTGTAGATACCTTCACACATAGATGTATGAAAATAAGAGCACTTTGAAAACGAACGGAACTATTGTGTAATTATTAATTTGCTCCACTTGCAGCTTTGTCCGAAGTTTCTTCACACAAATTCCACCAGCCACATCGGGCCCTTTAGCGCCATTGCTGAACTCATAGGTGAGTCATTGTCACACAGTTGTATTTTGTAAATGGAAATCATGCTCTCTCCATGCCAAAAGACTGACAGAGAATTGAAACTGAAAACCAGTGTCACTGAATAGAAACTGTCAGTATTAGTTATCTTGTGCACACAAGTTAATACCATATTATATGTAAACAGTGGGATAGGGTTATACAAATACCCAATAACAGGGGACTTATTATTAAAAAACCTTGATTACCTCTGACAGGTTGGCTGTGTGAATCTGAAATTTAGAGAGATATGAGTTTATAGTAAATTGTCTTGTGTGCACTAGGTAAATAACATGCTAGAAAACTGCAAAAAAATATCAAAATAAGATGAGATTGTTAGTGCGTGGTCAAAAGGTTACATTCATTCCTTTTGGGAAGCTTGGATTTTTATGTTGTTTAGTGTTTTAGGGCTGATGTTTACTTCTTCAGTTCAGTTTCAGTTTTGTTTTCCACATGCGGTGCACCTGCTGCTGTCCTCCTCCAAAAGAGTGTCGTTTCAGCCACTTTATAAAACATACTGCTGACTGAGAATGTCAGCAGAGCAGACACAGACAGGGAGAGTGACTTAGCAACAAAGCACTTTGTTATGCCTAGTAGAGTTTTAGGTTAAACAGCAACTTCAGTGTATTTAACCACACCCCAGTTTTATGATTATGATTATAGGCTCTGACTCACAACTGTATGATTCAAATACCAACTTATTTTTCAAAATTCTCCTTCCGGCAATTTGGTAGTGATGTGTTTTATGGAAACCAGCTATGATTTGTTTGCCAGTCTTGAAGGAGAAGTGACCAAACTCGCTATGGCAGAGCCTATACGAAATAAGCATGTGCAGGCAGTGTGATTACTATTACTATTATGTTGTAACAACAGTCAGCAAAATTCAAAATGACTGATAATGTAATTGTTAATGTATACATACATACACATGTATATAATGAGTAATAATTAAGTTGTGTTTGCAGTTGTCGCCCATTTGATATAAAATCAAATGTCCCTTAAATTGTAGTTTTTTAAAAATCTGCATGTCTTGCATATTATAATTTTAATCTTATAATACTCATAACTAAATCATAACGGCTGTAGAAGATTTTCATTAAACATACTCTGTGTGTACACTATACAAACATATCTATCTCAGCCAATATCAACTATATTCACATCTGATATTAAGTTTGCATGTTTAAAGAACTGTGTTTCCAAATGTAGCCACCTGACAGTGTGTGTGCTGTAGGTTTTCTAAAAAACGCATGCTGTAAATTCCTGATTTCAATGGTGTCAAGGAAAAAGGCATGTTAAAGGGTAATTTCAGTATTTTTAAACCATTGCCCTATTTCAGATTTTTTGGCCGTTGAAATGAGTAATAGTTGGTACAAAACGTTTTGAAATCTGTGCAGCAGATATCTTCAGCGGGCAGCCACAAACTGGAAGCAGTAGCCAAACCGGTGGAAATGTGAGTCACAGTTGGACAGAGGGGTTTGTTGTGTTGGAGTAATGCTAGGCGTTTTCTGCAACAACCTGCCTCTCATATTTCAGAGCAAGAATTTTCCTTGATCAACACAGTTTCTTGTTGAAAACAAAATGTGTCAGCGGTACTCACTTGTAGGGATCCTTTCCATGTCCATGATGTTGTTCGACACCTCTTATGCTGCTGTCAGTGGCAAAAAGAAGCACTTTTGTGGGCGTAATTTTGATGGGCACAGTTGCCACCACTGCAGTCGGCTCGTAGCTGAAGCCATCTACTGCGTGGATACCAAAATCTTTTGTACCACCACCTACTAGTCATTTTGACACCAAAATATGTGAAGATAGGGCCTGGGTTAAAAATACTAAAATGATTCTTTAGGTAATGGGCTCCCTCACCTAATTGTATTATGGGGAATGTGCCAGAAAGCTCCTGAGCTAACGGTATTATGGACATTGGGCAAAGTGCCAGAATGCTTCAGACCAGGGCCAGAAAATGCCATTAAAAGAGGATGTATTATGCTCCTTTTCAGGATCAAAATCCTATTTAGAAGTTGTACCAGAACGGGTTTACATGGCTTCATTTTCAAAAAACAACATTATTTTTTCATACTGCACATTGCTGCAGCTCCTCTTTTCACCCTGTGTTGAAGGCTTCGTTTTAGCTATGGAGTGATACATCTTCTACGTCTCTAAATGCTCTTTGTTGGGAGTTGCATTGACTGCCTGGAGGGTAGCTAGTGTTTGGAAGGGAGAGGAGAGGTGTGTGCTGGAGCTCAGTGTTTTTCCACCGGTGTTTTTGAGGGCATGTCAGACTAGTCGCGGCGAGCATTATGACATGTATTTACGTGTGACATCACAATACAGCAGAAGTAAAGGCTGGTCTACAAACAAGCTGTTTTCAGGCAGTTCAGAGCAGAGTTTTCTGTGGGAGATGGGAATTCCCTTTGGGGTGGACTTTGGGCTTTTTCACTTTGCAAACCTATAACGTGTACAAAATAGATATGTAACTCAATAAAGAAGAGGGAAAAAGCCAAAAAGTATAATACCACCTCTTTAACCAATAAGATGATAGACTCAGAAAAAAAACACTATTTTTTTGTGGGGTAAAGATGAGGTCAATTTCAGAACTTTCAATGCTGGAGGTTGAGGTTTTCATGTGAAGTTGTGTCAAGTTGCCCCTGTTTTTCTTTTTTTTCTACAGACAATGCCTACGATCCAGATGTCAGTGCAAAACAGTTCTGGATTGATAAGACTATGGTCAATGAACAAGAATGCCTCAGCTTTATGGATAATGGAAATGGAGTGGACTATAAAGCAATGCATAAGATGCTCAGGTACAGATACTGCTGCTTGGTATTTTTCCGGAAATTATGGAAAGAGTTGTTAAATACTTTCTGCACCATCAATATTTTTGGAATTTCAGAAATGTCAGTTTATATTTTATGTAAAACCATTGTTATTTTGATATTTGTTATTTAGAATCTGTTATTTGTGGTAGTTGAGTGTAATGGCCCACTAAATATTGACACTACCAGTGCTGGCATACATCATAAAGACCACTGCCTCAAACCTTTAAAAACAAACAATAATGTAAATGATGAATACATATGAACCATGATGTGATTCATATACTCACTAAAGAATCTGTTTCTTTTCCCCCCATCAAGCTTTGGCTACAGTGACAAGGTTGCTGTGAAGGGTGTAAAGCCAATTGGTATGTATGGCAACGGTTTCAAGTCTGGAGCCATGCGTCTTGGTAAAGACACCATCGTATTTTCCAAGTCAGAGAGTAGCTCCTGCGTCGGGATGCTTTCTCAGACCTACCTGAAGGAGATCGATGCTAAGCAGATAATTGTACCTATTGTCTGCTTTGAACAGAGGGACACAAAGGAGCATATCCTTTAACTAATGCATTAAGGCATATTGCATCATGTCAACAAATAATATCTTTTTGGTGTGAATTTGGTACAGGAGCACTACTTTTAAGTTGTAGAGAAATCTGATATTCTACTCAAACAGTTTGGATGTAACATATTAAAGTCTCGAACTACTAGATTGTTTAGGATTTTTACATGTTTTAGAGAAGCACATTTTCTCCCAATCCAACGTCAGACAGTCTTATATCCATTTGTCCTAATTTTTCATTGGAAGTTGTCCTTAACTTCAGCTTTACTCTGCGTGAAAGAGGAGCACAAAGCCAGTCTGCAGGACATCCTGCGCTATTCCCCTTTCAAGACACAGGAAGAACTGCTCCATGAGATTGATGCCATCACTTACCCCTGTTCCTCTGGGAAAAAAACTGGCACACGGATCATCATCTGGAATCTCCACAGGTCTGTCTGTATTCCACACATACAAAGATGTATGTTTTATTGTAGAAGCCAATGGCTACGGTGTAATTCCACTATGTTGCGCTCTGCCACTAGTCAAAACCCAACATTGTACAATGATCAGATGAAAAATGTGTCAACACCCTATTTACTAACCATTCAGCTTTCAGGACAAACACACAAAACAGTGCTTTCAACAAACAGTAGAAAGGTTGTTAACACTGGTTATCAATAATGAATACCAACATAATGTTTTGTATTAGGGGTCTTTCTCTGGGATTCAAGAATCACCATTAAGACCAGATATAGAGGCCTATTCATCTATACTGTTTGTTTGTTTTTCAACAGGACATCTACTGGATCAACTGAGTTTGATTTTGAGAGGGACCGTTACGATATCCGAATTCCAGCTGATGTCTATGAGGCAATAAATGACACTACTCATCATCCAGGGGTCATATCACACATCCCTGAGTGTGTTTACTCACTGCGGGTAAGCAGTAGTAGTAGTAATGTCCCTGTCTTCAAAAAATTCAAAATGATTCTATATTATACCTAAGGCATCATTTCTATGCCTTATCCACCCACAGTCACTTGTTGACCAACTATACAATGCTACTTATACAAGCATCAAACCCTTACATTTTAAAGTCCCTCACCATTAATTAAAAAAATGTGTTTTGCTTATTGTTACTTCACTTGGATGTTTGACCTTCATTATGCAGAATGATGTGCATGATGTTCATAGTTTCTGGATTTTTCGAGTATTAAATATAATTTTACAAATTGTTAGGGATTTAACTCTAAATTGTTATTCCAAGAAATTTATTTTTGTGTCTTAAAACATGTCTGAGGTTTGTAATCATTCAATTTTAGTTTTTTTTCTCTTGCATTTTTAGTAAAGTCGAGCTACTTCTTTTAGTGAAATCCATTCAATTACATTTATTAATTTAGCGGACGCTTTTATCCAAAGCGATTTACAATTGCTATACATGCCAGACGTCGCACATCTCTTAAGTGTCTTGCTCAGGGACATAATGGTGGATGGGTCACAGTGGGGGATTGAATCCAGGTCTCTCACACCAAAGGCATGTGTTTTATCCATTGCACTATAACCAACCCAGTTGCATGTAATTGTAGATATTCTGTTTTGTGTGTACAAGAAACAAATATTTATAATTTATAAACTTGTAGACTGACTCTTGATATCACGTTCCATTTACATGAATTAATAAATCAATACTTTTCTTTGACCTTAGGCATATTGCAGTATTCTCTATCTGAAGCCTCGGATGCAGATCATCATACGTGGTGTAAAGGTGAAATCTCAGCTCATTGCAAAGAGTCTGGCCTTCCGCAATACGGACCACTACAGGCCCACTTTCCTGGTATCCTTTCATCACAGGCTGAGCTGAGCCTTTTTTTGACCTTTTTCTCTTTGGTTTGGAATATGTGTTGACTAATAATTTCTTAGAATTTGGAACGCTTGTGCGCAAAAACTCTTTGCTTCTTTCTTTGGTCTTGAGTTTTCCTTGAATGTTATTTTAGGACAAAGTACGCATTCCTATCACTTTTGGCTATAACACCAAAAGTAAAGACCAATATGGCATTATGATGTATCACAAGAATCGCCTCATCAAAGCCTACGAGCGTGTTGGCTGCCAGATTAAGGTGAGTCTGTGTTGTGAGCATGTGTTTTTTTTTTGTTTTGTTTTTTTTTGTTTTTTTTTTTTGCATGTTTGTTTTTTTTTTCTTCATCCAGTGCTCACCTCTTTTGTCCCTCTACAGGCCAACAACAAAGGTGTTGGGGTCATTGGAGTCATAGACTGTTACTTTCTAGAACCTACGCACAACAAACAGAGCTTTAATGAGACAGATAAGTACAGGTAATAGCAGTGAGGATGCATTCAGTTTTGATTGCATTGGTCTGATAAAGGTCTAAATGAATGAATCTGCCCACGTAAACATATTTTTAAAGTCTCATATTACTGGATTATTTGTCAACATGGGCCCAGAAATGCATAAGTCTGAAGTTCTTTATTTCCTGTAACAGGAAAACTATGGCCAGTTTGGGAATCAAACTGGAGGAGTACTGGCAGGAAATCCGCCACAGGAGAAATACAGAGGACCCAAACTGCATACCAATTGAAGATACCACGTTAGTACATTTTGCAGTGACTGACATCATGCACTCTGCACATATATCTGTCTAACCATGTTGACTTCTAAGATGCTCTGAAACTTATGTCTACAGGAAGCGACCAGATCAAAACTGGGTGCAGTGTGATGATTGTTTGCGCTGGCGCAAACTCCCTGATGGGATTGACTGCAGCAAGCTGCCAGAACAGTGGTTCTGCCGTATGAACCCCGATCCTCAGTTCAGGTAACCAAAGCCTTGAAAAATCTGTTGGCATTAATCACATTCTGATCTGATAAAATAAACAATTAGAACAGAGAAAAAGATACTCATATTCCGATCCACAAATCTGTATAGCACTGTCTCCCCCTGGTGTTGAAGGCTGCATTACACTTTTCTGTTGGTACTTAACTGTTCTACCTGAGCTTAAAATTACTGCTGATCATTTCTCAAAATGCTCTTCAAGGGACATGAGGCATGAAAAGGTTCCTCACAGCAGAGGTTGCTCACTAGTGGCTAGTGGAACTAGATAAACCATAAACAATGTTTTCCATCTCTGTCTCATTTGTCCTCCCAGGAACTGCAACATAGATGAGGAGGCCGAGGACTCGGATGATGATCAACCATCATACCGCAAAACCTATAAACAACAGTGAGTCCGATTTTAATTAAAAACACTGCCACTACGTTTGCCTAAAATGTAACTGAATATTTAGACCCAATAACAATGGCACATTCTTGTATTAAGCTGCCAAAAAGTTACCTGCCCTACCTTACCTCTATTTTCTTTTGTACAGGGAGAAGGTAGACAAAAAGAATGAAGAGAAGAAAAGACAAAAGGTGAGGACACACCGTCGTCTGCTGTAAATCACCTGCCATCTTTCTGCCTGCTGTTCCTGCAACACCTCAGTGCGATTTGGAATATATTCTTAATTTTCTGATAGTATTGATTTCTGATTCCATAAAGGTTAACATGTGATTAATAGTGCTTTTATGATTTTGTTTTCTAGGAAGAAGAAGAGCGAAGGTGCCTGGAAGAACAGCGTTTGGCCCAACAGCAGCTGCGTCAATTAGTATGTTTTCCATGTGACATCAAAGAAGGTTGGGAGTGACGACTGCAATTGATTTCACTAAACATAATCATTGTGTTCTCTATGTTTTGTGTTTGTTGTTGTTGTCAGACTGTCCATTCCCCCTCTACTGCCACTACCCCAAGGAGAAGGTTGAACACTGAGTCACTACTAGGGGGTGCTGCGATGGCTAAATCCTCTTCATTGAGGTCCTCCACAATTTCCCAAGCTGGTAGGAAAATATATTCTGTGTGTGTGAAACTTTGAGAGATCGTTTTTTTTAAGTCTGCTGTCTTTCTCTCTAGCTTGCAGCCCTTCCAGTAGCAGTGGTCTTCCAGTTATTACTAGTGTATGCTCACTGTCAACGCGCCCCCCGAGGTATGATTTTGTGCTGTATGTGATCTTAAATATATCCATTTGATGTTTAAAAAACATATTAAGTGCCTTTATCTGCACTTCAGGGGGAAAAGAACACAGTCTCTTACTCCACAAAGAACGACGCCCAAGAGACCTAGAGTTAATGGCTTCCAGCGGGTCACCCCAGATACGTCCACATCAGTGGATGTGAGCCCACAGAGCTCCCCGTCAGTGCTCGCTGGTAATGATGATGATGATACTGATGATGACATTTTCATCTTGGAGACTGCAAGTACCCCAAAGCCAAAAAGTCCGTGCTTAGATTTGACTAAAGTGAAGACGGAGCGAGAGCAAAGTGATGCTAACTTTGGCATGCTGTTGGAGTGCAGCGATGATGCTGCAATAGATGTCGCCTTGGAGGCTAATGTTGCAGGAATGGCAGCTGTGGGAACCAGTTCCTCCCCAGCACCCCCTCTAGTGGTGGCCAGCATCACCACCCAGACAGAAGCACCCAAAGTGAAGCAGGAAGAGTGGGATGAAAATCAAACCGTAATGGAGGAGAGCGCAGGGCAGAGTGGTAAAGAAGATGTCTGTGAGCAAAGAGCTGTTAAGCAAGAGAGCAGTGGAGACACTCACAGTGAGGATGTGGGAAAGCAGACCTTGCAGAACGGAGTGACAAATCATCTGGATAGCACAGAAAAGGCTCAACCTTCCTGTGCAGATGCCTGTGATAGAAACTCCTCTCCACTTCACCACCCCAGTATGATTGAGGTACAGGAACAGCAAGACCAGCTCCTAGAGCTCATGCAGGCGACAGCTCAGGAGAGAGACTCCTTTAAAGAGCAGGTCCAAAACCTCACCCGCCAACTGCAGGAGCTGTCTCAGATCAGTGTGAAGAAGGAGTGCTCTCACCAGGCCAGCCAGACGGAGGAAACGGAGCCGGAAAAGGACTACAAAAGTCTGTTTGAGAAGGCCAAACAGAAAGTCGATGAATTGATTAAAGACAAAGAGACTTTACTGGCAGCCACTGAGACCAAGCCCAGTGATGCACAAGGTGAGGAGAAGGACATTGATGAGATTGCACTGCAAGTTGACCGTCTAGTCCGGGAACTGGATCAAAGAAACAAGGAGAGGGATGAACTGCGCTTGAAGGTCAGTGTTCCAGCTGTATTTTGAGCTATAAGTGCAAGACTTGCAATACTCTTTTTTTTAATTCTTTTTTTCTTGACAACAAATCCCATAAAAAGTCTAAAGCCAAATATCTCGGAGTAATTTCTTAAATTTTTAATAAGAAAATGTTACTTAAACAGTGCATTTGTTAGGGACTAGCTGAGTATATAAGGCAGCAGGGCACCGTATGTGGGATCCACCTCAAAATAAACTACAATGCCCATGTTGACCATAATGAAGGAACATGTCTCCCAGTGTAACAGTGTGGTTCATTAATGTGTTTAGAACAGATTTTGGAGGTTTATGGCACAAAGGGAATAAGCTACTGTATATCAGGCTTTGGGTACAGGAAATTCAAACATTTTTGTAGAATCAATTTATTGTTGGTTTTGGACTTTTAATGGGATTGGTTGACAGTAAGAAAATATAGAAGATGAACAGACTTATCGTTTAATACAGGCATTATATTTCCTTTATTCTGTCAGATAATGATACTTAAAAGCCCAAAGAAATTGCTTTAAAGTCTTGAGCTTGAAGGTTCATTCCTGACCTTTGGACACATATGCATACATATAGTGATTATGATCAATCAAACCTATATGGACAACATATTTACAAATATCAAACATGAATCTGTGCACTTTATGTAAAAAAGCAACTATAAAAGGAGTAAGTAAGATTGTATGGTTATATAGCACATTGTCATTTGCATAATTGACTCTGTATACAGTTTATATGCAGCCCACATAAATTTTGTGTACCTTTTGTTTGGTTGATGTTGACCTGCATACAGTTTATATGCAGCCCACATAAATTTTGTGTACCTTTTGTTTGGTTGATGTTGACCTGCTTATCCTCCCTCCTTTTATTCATTTTCTTTCCTCCGGGGTTCACTGTGTGCTACGCCACCAGTTGGACAGTCTGGAGGAGGAAAGGGCAAATCTGGCAGCCCAGTGTGAAGAACTCAGGTTGAGCCTGCAGCAGCAGGGGGAAAATGCAGAAGAGGGAAGCGCAGCTCCACACAGAGCCACTGGTTCTTCTGTACAAACAGATCCCAACAAGGCAGGAGGGACAGCGGACACTAGCACAGATTCATCCAAGAGGTTTGGTTGGTGTAAAATCGCTTTCCATTAATGTTGTATGAGTTATCACTGAATTATCATTATTAAAATCATGTGAATCACATTTTCTCTCTCCATCAGTTTGATTGAGCTTCGGCACAACGTCGGGCGCCTTCTTGTCTCCTACGTGCCTGCCCTGGACCTGGGCCAAGTGAATTATGAGTGTAATGTAATTGATGAGATCCTAGAACAGGTTCTCTCCGATGCGGCGTCTGTCACACAAGTGGGGCTGAGGGACTGAACAGTAAATGAATAAACAAATCATCTCCATGAATCCCCAAATTGGTGACATTGGGCTGTATAATATTAAATGATCAGATCCTAGATTAAAGTGCAACCCGTCACCTTTAAATAATGAATACATGTCCCTATGAGTGTGGGAAATTAAGTCTTTTTTATTTGTGGGGCTGAAGGTGTGTACATGTGTACAGATTTTATGATGTACAGTAAATGCAATGGCTACAACCTACTTTGCATTTCTTTTTCTTAACAGAAGAGATAAGTTAACCAAAACATGCAGAAAAAAACTACAAACGATATAATCACGGCATACACAATTGAATGCTACAGGACTTTTACTTTACTCTTAAGTTTCTGGGTAACACATTTAACAGTCAACTGTTTGATATTGTGTTGATCAAGTAATTCTAGTCACAGTATGACCTTTTGTTTAGGTTTTCAAAACAAGCAGGCTCGATATGTGATTCTGTTTTACATTGACAACTGGCTGTTATGTTTATGGTTTGGATTGCTGCAGATTTTGTATGCACTATGTCAAATATATTTTTTATAATTCCTGTCTTTGGTCTCTGATTAAATGCTCTGACACATTATCATTGGTGTCCTTGTGAATTGATATGACAAACATTATAGAAAATAGGGCTTGCAACAAACCGCACAGTATGTTTCTGAGTGACAAAAACTGAAACTTAACTGAAATAGCTAGAGAAGAAACTTGCTATGTCCTTAAAACAGGCTGTGTTTGCTTGCTGATTTAAGATTTCAGTGATGGCCATTCTATAGTTTCACTTAATACACTGGTGAGTGTGAAAGTTGTCTTGTGTAATGAATTAAATGGCAAAGTGTGGTAAAGTGTCCACTGGTAGTAGCAGCATTACAAGCATACAGGTGATCCAGTGTATTACAGTTTGTTTTCTGAATTCTTAAACACTAACAGTCTTTCTTGAAACACTTTCTGAAACCATGAACACAGATCGTTTATAACATGTGCCAAACTGAATGCACATTCTTTGCTTTACACTCAGTTTGCAATTCAATAACACACTTCTATCAAAACTGTAAACATTACTATATTTTTCTACACTATGTAATGAAAATAGGAATTCCACATTGACACATGTGAAAACACTTGTAGATTAGTTCAAATACCAATCAGAGCTTGAGCACTATACGTATTAAGGCCAAAGGTAAACATTTGGTTTGGCTAACAATGGAGACTTTTGGAGAGAAAGAGAGGTGAGAATTAGATGAGGATGAGGAGGTGAAGAAGTAAGAGGAAGACGGGGGAGAATGAAGAGGAATGAGGAAAAGGGAGTCAGGAACATAACAGATTAAATCAGAGTAACTATGGTTGACCATGTTTTCAACCATGGGATGAGCTTGAAGGAAGCTGCATGGGCAAGGGGTTCAACCAAATCTGAGCCGCTGTACTGTTGCAGGTACAGAATGTCACAGAAGTGCATACACCCCTCACATTTTTGTAAATATTTGATTATATCTTTTCATGCGACAACACTGAAGAAATGACACTTTGCTGCAATGTAAAGTAGTGAGTGTACAGCTGTTATAACTGTAAATTTGCTGTCCCCTTAAAATAACACATTACACAGCCATTAATGTCTAATCCACTGGCAACAAAAGTGAGTACACACCTAAATGAAAATATCCAAATTGGGCCCAAATAGCCAAATTTTCCCTCCCCGGTGTCATGTGACCCGTTAGTTTTACAAGTTCTCAGGTGTGAATTGGGAGCAGGTGTGTTAAATTTGGTGTTATTGCTCTCACACTCCCTCATACTGGTCACTGGAAGTTCAACATGGCACCTCATGGCAAAGAACTCTCTGAGGACCTGAAAAAAAGAATTGTTGCTCCACATAAAGATGGTCTTGGCTATAAAAAGATTGCCAAGACCCTGCAACTGAGCTGCAGCACAGTGGCCAAGACGATACAGCGGTTCAACAGGAGAGGTTCCACTCAGAACAGGCCTCGCGATGGTCGACCAAAGAAGTTGATTGTGCTTACTCAGCATCATACCCAGAGGTTGTCTTTGGGAAATGGATGGATGGGTGCTGCCAGTATTGCTACAGAGGTTGAAGGGGTGGGGGGTCAGCCTGTCAGTGCTCAGGCCATACGCCACACACTGCATCAAATCGGTCTGCATGGCTGTCTTCCCAGAAGAAAGCCCGCAATCAGTTTTCTGAAGACTAAGCAGACTAAGGACATGGATTACTAGAACCATGTCCTGTGGTGTGATGAGACCAAGATAAACTTATTTTGTTCAGATGGTGCCAAGCATGTGTGGCGACAACCAGGTGAGGCATACAAAGACAAGTGTGTCTTGCCTACAGTCAAGCGTGGTGGTGGGAGTGTCATGGTCTAAGGCTGCATGAGTGCTGTCGGCACTGGAGAGCTGCAGTTCATTGAGAGAACCATGAATGCCAACGTGTTGTGACCTACTGAAGCAGAGCATGATCCCCTCCCTTTGGACACCGGGCCGCAGGGCAGTATTCCAAAATGATAACGACCCCAAACACATCTCCAAGACGACCACTGCCTTGCTAAAGAAGCTGAGGGTAAAGGTGATGGACTGGCCAAGCATGTCTACAGACCTAAACCCTATTGAGCATCTGTGGGGTATGTTCAAACAGAAGGTGGAGGAGCACAAGGTCTCACAAGGTGACATCCACCAGCTCCGTGATCTCATCATGGAGGAGTGGAAGAGGACTCCAGTGGCAACCTGTGAAGCTCTGGTGAACTCCATGCCCAAGAAGGTTAAGGCAGTGCTGGAAAATAATGGTGGCCACAAAATATTGACACTTTGGTCCCAATTGGGACATTTTCTTCTGTTGCCAGCAGTTTATACATTAATGGCTGTGTGATGTGTTATTTTGAGGGGACAGTAAATTTACACTGTTATACAAGCTTTACACTCACTACTTTACATTGTTGCAAAGTGTAATTTCTTCAGTGTTGAGAGGGGTGTATGCACTTTTGTGAGACACTGTATCATCTGGTTGTTTTGAAATAAGAACGGTAAGTAACAAACTGTTGTATGGCGCTGGTACTGGTTCAGTAATAGCCTAATCGTCTATGCACTGTAATAACAAGGATCCATAGCTACTGTAAAAATGATCAATGTTTTTTGCAGAATTGAAAGGAAACTTATCTTGTGGAACAGGTTGACTGTTGAACCCAGAGCAGGAGACCCACATTGTAAGTATGTGGTCCAAAACATCAACAGTGTAAGTCTCTCTGCAATGGATGAAGCAGCTCTTTCAAAAGTCCCTTTCAAAACAAATTTAGATCGTGTAAAAAAATAAATAAATAAATAAAAATAAAAACTCTAAACTTTAAACATTTGGGCACCTATGTGTATGTGAGTTTTACTGTACTACATGCATGACGTGGCAAACTACTATGCCCTACAAACAGAAAAATCAAAAGCCAAAAGTGTTGTTCATTTATACTTTCAGTGCGTAGTTGCTGCTTATATGAAAAAATTTGTGTACCGTATTGATGCAAAAACAAAGGTTAAAATAAAGACTCTGAAGAGATTTTAAATAATTCTTTGCTTTTGTAAGCAATGCGTAGGCTAATGTTTTGCTCTTTTGGAGTAAGGTTTTGTGGTTAGTGTATCGATTGTAAAAATAACCTATAGTTTCAAAAGCTGTGTCTAAGCAATCGGGGAAAAAACTGTAAAGGGGATGTTGCATTGCTTGTATTTTTGGTATCTTCTTGAAAATACCACCTTTATAGTCCAAAAAAGACATTGAACAAAATAAACAGTGTGGGGCTCACATTTCACAGAAAACTGAAGTTCTGTTTATTGTTGTGTACTGTTTACACTTTATACATACTACATGTTTACCGGTGAAAAAAATACTATGAATAGAAGTTTAGTTTAGGTAGCTTTCTACTGTGTAACCACTATTTAAGTTTTAAATCACATGTATGTGCTTTAAGAAAGGGGGCTGCGTGCAGTAGTTAGCACAACTGTTGATGATTGCAAACTGAAATTAGTTTGACGACAGAGAAACTCAATAGATTATACTCGAAAAACATGAATTTATTGGCATACATCAGCAAACAGGTGTACTAAACATGGGTGCCCAAAGATGAAGTGGAAAACAAGCCGTATTTCAGTCATATTAATGGACCCGGTATGTGCTTGATAAGTTTGAATTATCAACATTTTCAGCACGTTACAATAATCACTCCCCTTCCGCGTTTTCGTCCAATCAGTGCAGCCGAGGCGACCGGAAGTTTTGAACGAATCGTACGCGGGAATTTACAGGTCGCTTCAGCTGGACAACAGAGGAGGTAAAACGCTGCAATCTACTTCGACATAACTTCATTTCAAAGATTAGACATGCACAACTCGGTTGTATCTGTGACGAACACACTCGTTAGCTAACAGTAACTTATGTGCACACGTACCTTGTCTGTCGTTTGTAATTTCAGCCACAAATCATCCCAACAAACCTGCTAAATGTAATGCTAATGGTGTTAGCAAGCTTGTTAGCATTCGGTTTCAGTGACTGAAATTAGTTGTTTTATCAAATAATTTTCTTCTGTAGTCCGTAATACAGGGTTCGTACTTGTCAGCGTGTAGACATAACAGTCTGTTTTGGCTCCTGAGTGAATACGAGCCTATATAAACCTGGTTATAGTAACATGTATGTGTTTTTCCTTCCTGGGGTCAGTGTTGGATATAAAATAAGATGAAGGTGGTAACGTGTGAGATTGCATGGCACAACAAGGAGCCAGTCTACAGTCTGGACTTCCAGCACAGCACAGATGGACGCATTCACCGGCTGGCCACAGCTGGAGTGGACACAACAGTCAGAGTGAGTGGAGAAAGAGAGAGAGATGATGATACATCTGGTTAATGCAGTGAGACGTGTCCGACCAAGAGTCACTTTTAACCATGTACATGCATTTGTCTAGGAAAGGAACAGTGTCACACAGCAAAGCAAATGTTAATACTACGTGCATGAATTTGACCGTTAAATCAAACGAAATGGTTGCAGCTGTGAGGGCAAATGTGCATGCCCACAGGAGGTTCACACTTTCTGTCGAACAAAACGTCATGTAACATTTCATATTGGCATACTTAAGAGAACGTGGGGCCTTTTCCAGGACTTGAATGTGTGACACACAGGATTCCCCCGAACAGCTCAGTATTCAGATTTTTACTTATTGTTCTGTTCCACAAACTTTGTCCCACCAAACTATATCAATGGGTACGATTTAAAAAAAACAAAATGTAAAATGTTTTTCTTTTTATATTGCCGCTTTGTTTGTAAATTAAAAGATTTTTAATTAAATTGCATTATCATAAGCCAGGCAGTTTTCATACCTTTTAAAATGCCATATTTTACCATGTTGGAAAACGCATCTTACAGATGACAGCGAAATTTTATATTAAGTAAAAATACTGTTTTTGTTTTTAAACTGTTTAAATGT